CAGACGCTTAACGACTGAGCCACCCAGGCGCCCCGCCCCGGGACTTTTCTAATTTTTTGAGAAAGGCTTGTATTGCTATGTACTTCCCTCTTAGGACCACCTTTGCTGTATCCCAAAGGTTTTCAACAGTTGTGTTTTGATTTTCATTTGTTTCCATGAATTTTTAATTCTTTTATTTCCTGGTTGACCCATTCATTCTTTAGTAGGATGCTCTTTAATCTCCAAGTGTTTCTTTCCAAATTTCCTCTGTGATTGAGTTCAAGTTTCAAAGAACAGTGGTCTGAAAATATGCAGGGAATAATCCCAATCTTTTGGTACCAGCTAAGACCTGATTTGTGACCCAGTATGTGAACTGTTCTGGAGAATGTTCCACGTGCACTTGAGAAGAATGTGCACTCTCTTGCTTTAAGAAGAAATGCTCTGTGTATATCTGTGAAGTCCATCTGGTCCAGTGTGTCATTCAAAGCCCTTATTTCCTTGTTGATCTTCTGCTTAGATGATCTGTCCATTGCTGTGAGTGAGGTGCTGACGTTTCCTACTATTATTGTGTTATTATCAATGTGTTTAATTTGGTTATTAATTGGTTTATATATTTGACTCCTCCCAAGGTAGGAGAATATTTATAATTGTTAGATCTTCTTGTTGGATAGACCCTTTAAGTGTGATATAGTGTCCATCTTCATCTCTTAGTAAGTCTTCGGTTTAAAATCTAATTTATCTGATATGTGGATTGCTACCCCAGCTTTCTTTTGATGTCCATTAGCATGACAAAGGGTTCTCCACTCCCTCACTGTCAATCGGGAGGTGTCTTTAGGTCAAAAATGAGTCTCTTGTAGACAGCATATGGATGGCTCTTGCTTTTTTTATTCAATCTGATACATTGTACCTTTTGTTTGGAGTATTTAACCCATTTACATGCAGAGTAACTATTGAAAGATGATGAATTTAGTGCCATTGTATTACCTACGAAGTCCCTGTTTCCGTAGACGGTCTCTGTTTCTTTTTGGTTTATTTTACTTTTGGGCTCTCTCTTCGCTTACAGGATCCCCTTTAATATTTCTTGCAGGGCTGTTTTAGTGATCACAAATTCTTTTAGTTTCTGTTTGTCCTGGAAGCTCTTTATCTCTCCTTCCATTCTCAACATCAGCCTTGCTGGATAAAGTATTCCTGGCTGCATGTTTTTCTCATTTAGCACCCTGAATATACCATGCCAGCCCCTCTGGCCTGCCAGGTCTCTGTGGATAGGTCTGCTGCCATTCCTACCCCCGTAGGTTAAGAACCTCTTTTCTGGAGCTGCTTTCAAGATTTTCTTTTTATCACTGAAGTTTGCAAGCTTCACTAATATATGTCAGGGTGTTGATCTATTTTTATTGATTTTTGAGGGGGTGCATTTCTCTCTACCTCTTGGATTTGAATGCCTGTTTCCTTCCCAGATTAGGTAAGTTCTCAGCTATGATTTGCTCAAATATAACTTCTGTCCCTCTCTTTCTCTTCTTCCTCTGGGACCCCAATAATTCTAATATTGTTTTGCTTTATGGTATTGCTGATTTCTCAAAGCCTCCCCTCATGGTCCATTAGTTTTCTCTTTTCCTCAGCTTCCTTCCTTTCCATCACCTTGTCTTCTATGTCACTGACTCTCTCTTCTGCCTCATATACCCTAGGTGTTAGAGCATCCATTTTAGACTGCATCTCAGTTAAAGCATTTTTAATTTCAACCTGATTAGATCTCCTTTCTGCACTAAGAAATTCTGTATAGAGTTTTTAATGCTTTTTTCAAGCCTAGCTATTAACTTTATAATTGTTATACTGAATTCCATCTCTGACATCTTACTTATATCCATATCAATTAGATCTGTGGCAGAGTATTACCTCTGGTTCTTTCTTTTGTTGTCAATTCCTCCTTCTAGTCATTTTGCCCAGAGAAGAACGAATGAACAAGAGAACAAAATCAAAAATATCAACCACGACCCAAGACAAATACACACTACATGAATCTGAAGAGGTCAGAAACCAAAAAAGAAAAGAAAAAGAAAAAAAAAAAGAGAAAAGAAGAGAATATACTCTCCCAGGTGGACAAAACAGGGTGATCCACTTGGTCCTGGGTGTTACTTTGGTCTGTTTGTTAGAAGACACTAAATCCCAAAATTGTAAAGAAAGCAAAACATTATATATATTGAATACAGTGAAAGGAAGCCAAAAATGAAGAATATATTTATAAAATGTAAATGTAAAAATGAAAATTAAAAAAAAAAGACTTAAAAACAAAGAGCTGATCAAATAAGAAACTCGTTGAAAAGGAAAAAAAAAAGGAAAATTTTAAACTGAAAGATAAAATGAATCAGAAAAAATCCTCAAATTCTATATACTATTTTCTCCTAGCACTGGAGTTTTGCAGTTCTGTGTGCTCTGTAAACTTGGTATTTGCCTGACGTTCCAGCTGGTCTTCTGGGGGAAGGGCCTGCTGCCCTGATTCTCAGGTGTCTTTGCCTGGGCAGAGGTGCACTGCCCCTTGCCAGGGGGCTGGGCTCCGTGTAAGCTATTTTGGGTTGCTCTATGTGGCTTCTGTTCCCTGAAGGCTTTCTGTGCTACTTTAGAGGATGAAAATAAAAATGGCTGATCTCCAGCCCCAGAGCTGAAAGACTGTGGCCCCTCTCTTCAGTAAGCCCTCAGGGAAAAGCAGTCTTCACTTTTGTGTACGCCAAACTCTGCAGGCTCCTGTGGTTTGCACCCCCACCAATCGTCCCAAGGAAGGGAGGAGGGTTGCTCCAAGCCTGCCACTTGCAGGGCCCCCGCACGGACAGCAATACTTTTTCTTCCAAGAAATGTTATCATTTTAGCTTTTCCATTTAGTCTCAGCTCCATCTCAAATTAGTTTTTGTGAATAATGTGACATGCTTGAGGATGTGGATTGCTTGAGGATCCTTTTTCTTTCTACACCAGAGGCCCTTTGTTCCAGCACCAATTGATTGAAGAGTCCTTCCTTTCTCCAAAGAATTGCTCTGGTGCCTTCACTGAAAATCATCTGACCATATTTGTATGGGTCTCCTGGATTTTTCACTCTTATGCTAATACCGTCTGGATAACTGTAGCTTTATATTAAAAGTCTTGCTATCAGGTAGGGTAAGTTGCCCAGTTTTGTTATCTTTTTCAAAACTGTTTCAGCTATTCTAGATTGCACTTCCCTATGGATTTGAGAATCAAATTTGTCAATTTCTACAAAAAAAAGTCTGCTGGGATTTTGATTGGGATTGCACTGAGTCTATAAATACATTTGGGGAGAACTGGAACCCTAACACATATGAGTCTTCCAATCTATGAACATGATGTTGCACACTTTTCAATAAATTTGTCCCTAAGGATTTCAGGTTTTTTGATGTTATTCTATTTGGAGATTCCATAGGCTTGTCTCATATAGTCACATACGTAGCCACAGTCTACATACGTTTTCTGTTTTCAACTTTTATGCCTTCCTTTTTCTTCCCTATTGTGCTGGCTACAAGCTCCAGTACGCTGAATTGAAGTGGTAAGAGCAAACACTCTTGTATTGTTGCTGATCTTGGGAAAAGCATTTGCTATTTCATAGTTAAGGATGATGTTGAGGAACAACTATTTTAGTTTGCTAAGATTTTTTAAAAATCATGAATGATAAATGCAAACATAACAAAACCTATCTGTAGCTATTAAGAGAATCATGTGATTTTTCTCTTTTACTATGCTACAGTGGTGATATTACAGTGTATGATTTTTCTACATTAAACCACCTTTGCATTCCCAGCATACTTGGTCATATGTGTTATCCTTCTTATATACTGCTGTATTCAATTTGCTAAGATTTTTTGAGAATTTTGGAATCTATGTTTATGATGGATGCTGGCCTTTAATGTCCTTTTCTGGTAATGCTCTTATTTGGTTTTGCTGTTAGGTTATGTTGATCTTAAAAACTGAATTGGGAAGCGTTCCCTCTTTCTCCATTTTCTCCAAGGTGTAGGGTTGATGTTATTTCTTCCTAAGTGCTTGACAGAATTCACCAGTGAAGCCGCTTTGATCTGGAGTTCTGTGGGAAAGTTTCTGATAACAATTTAATTTTTTTGATAGATGTAGGAACATTCTTATTTTCTATTTCATTCTGAGTCAGTTTTGGCAAGTTGTGTTTCTCAAGGAATTTTTCCATTTCCCATCTAAATTGTTGAATTTATTGGCATAAAGTTATTAATAATTTATTCTCTTAATGTCCTTTTGATTTCAGTAGGATCTGTAGTGACATTCCTTCTTTCATTCCTGCTATCGGTAACTTGTGCTCACTTTCTCATCAATCTTGTTAGGAGTTTATCAATTTTTCTCAAAAAAACAACGTTTAGCTTTTCTAATTTCCTCTATTTCACTGATTTCTGTCCTTGTTATTTCCTGTCTTCTACTTTCTTTGGGTTTCATTTGTTTATCTTTTTCTAACCTCTAATGTGGAAACTTAGAACCCTGACAGTGAATCTTTCTTCCATTCTTATATAAGCATTACAACTAAATTTATGTAGTTTTTCAAGCAATGTGCTACTTGAGGTAAAACTCAAAATAGCCTGAGAGGAAAATGCTAGGAGACACTTCTTAACTAAGAATCATCTGCAAGTTTTCTGAGAATTGGTAAAGATAGGAAAAGGAGTTCATGGATATTCTTCAGAGATAAAACTCAGGAAGTGAAGAGAACTTTTGAAGAAAGACAGATTTACAGCTGCTTATGAAATCAGTGCCAAGGACAAGCTTGGCAAGGGATTAACTTTTTATACAGTTTGTCAAACCCCTCAGATCACACAGTATTATTTCATCAGGAATCTTCAAAGAATTTCCCGGCCTTGGGTCCTAGAGCCATATTTACAAAATAAGAATAAAACTTGTCACTGTACCTTTTCTAAATTTGGGCTTTATTTTTGAGGGTTCCTCCTGTGATTTGCCTCCATCTTGAATGGGGAGTACCATGTAGCACATCAAATCAAGGACTTTTTCACATGTCATCTAAAGAAGATCAGATGAAAAAGCACCAATCTGAAATTTTCTCATTGAAAGCAAATCAACAGAATACTAATATGTGTAGCAGACAACTGGGCAATGTGTGTACATGGAGGGCTGTAGCACTACCTCAAGACTCTATGAGATCATTACTGTCTGCTCAACAGCAAATGTAGAAAAAGTAACTGAGATTGAATCGAGGTACTAGATCTTTGGGGGAATAATAACTCATGCTTTGCTATTAAAACAAAAGAACAAAAATTAAAAATTAGTTGAGTATTAACTAAACTACCAACGTGTTTAACAGCACAGTGGCCCGTCCTAAAGACATTTACTAACTCAATGAATAGAAAATACTACTCAACTGAATAGAAAAATCAACAAAATGGGGACACAAAGTACAGAACTACATGGTATAATACAGAGCATAATTTAAAATGAAGGAGAAACATACACAGGCTAAACTAGCTGGAAAAGGTTCAGATAGGAAGGTTACCCTTATCTCAACCTTAAAGGGAGGGAAGAATTTGGAATGTGGAAAAGAGATAAAAGGGTTTTCAGAGGAGAGAAAGATGTAGGGAGGGGCTGGGTACTGTTTAGGTGATTAGGTGAGGGGAAGGAAGGCGTGGTTTAGGAAATAACACAGACAAAACCGGTCTGATGCAGTGCTTGTGCGGAGGGAAGCCTCAAGGGCCACACTGAGCAGGCTGCTCTTGATCCACAGAGTGAGCCATTACCTTCGGTCTACCTGTTCAAATTCTAGTAACAGCTAGATTCCATTTGGGGAGTGTGTTCTATGCATCTAGCACAACCTTCTTATTATCCCTATTTTACAGATGAGGAAGTGGAGGGTTAAACCTATGCTTCCCACCCTTTTTTGTGTCTTGGCGCATTCAGAAAATACTTGTAAGGCTGCTCAGAGCTGGCAGCACTAACCTGGGGGCTCTAGCTGCCTCAAGCCACAGCTAACTGAGAGCGTCGGTATCTTCGCACATCCAGAACCCACCTAGGCCATAGGGTTGTGAAACTCCAGCTTTAAGAGCTTGACAGCTTGGTAGTTAACTTGAACACTGGAGTTAGATAGCTCACTGAGGTAACTTGCCCCAGGTCACAGAGCTAGTGAGTGGTGGGGCCATGATGTATTCTCCAGGGTCATATGCCCAACTCCAGCCAATCTTTTCTGTAATTTCTTCCTTGACTACATGGACCCTGGTGAAAACACCCTTTCCTGAATGCCTACTGTGCATATGTCAGGGCCATACCACTTAGTATTTGATTTTTAACTGTTTTCTATAAATACTTGCACTTTTCTCTGTAACTCAAATTACATGTCCTGAATCAGGGATCCCCCATTCCCCATACCCTGCTTATATCTCCACCCCCAGCACATGGTTCAACTCTGGGCACTGAGGAAGTCAATATTTCAGTTAAGTGGAACAATGACAACAATCTTGTAGAAAGCAATGACCATAACTTAGAGATGGAAAAAGATTATCGGCAAAAATCTCAGTTCAGAGCCATGGATTAGAGTGGTGGCAAAGGAAATAAAAGGCACTACACCAAAGATATTAGCTTCATACTGGAAGAATCAAAATGATTAGCCAGAGTTAAGAGTCAACCATGACTTGAGAGTTTTACATCTAAGGGCCAGAGAACAAAGGAAACTCACATCTGGATACACTGGGTCTGAGCTGAAGACAGACAGCTGAAGGCAGCTGAGATTCAGGAAGCAGGTTAAGGGGTGCCTGGGTGGCTCAGTCGTTAAGCATCTGCCTTCGGCTCAGGTCATGATCCCAGGGTCCTGGGATTGAGCCCCACGTCGGGCTCCCTGCTCGGCAGGAAGCCTGCTTCTCCCTCTCCCACTCCCCCTGCTTGTGTTCCTGCTCTTGCTATCTCTCTC